AAATGTAGACAGAGACTGCCTTCTGGGAAATGTAGTTCCATGACATGTGAGCACATCTGTGTTTCTGATTCGCCAACTCCACCAGGAAAACAATGAGTGTGACTCCTCTCTCAACATGGGAGCAAAATCATCATCTTTTTACACCACGTGATGGGACAGATTATGGAAAGTCAGCCGTATCTTAAAGTTGATCTGAATAAGATTCCAAAGCGTGGAGCTAACTAGATGCCCCGAGCAGGACTAGAGCAGTCGAGGCAGAACTTGCATCTCAAACTCCTAAACTCCATTTGCATTTAACTGAGAAAAGCTGCTGGGAATTCCCCCACCCCTTCTTGGAGCAAAAAGGAACATCCCGTTTCAGTGAGAAAGGCTGATTAATTATCCTGAGAAGAAGGACTTTGTTGTGATTAAGAAAATGTGCTAAAGGGGTGCAAAGAGTTGCATGAGAAAAGCAGTCTCTACAACCTAGCTGGCTCAATCTGTTCTGAAAAGCCTGTTTTCGTTTGTGGAAGAATGCTTACAGGCTAGACTCTTTGTTTCTCCTCTGATATACTGGAAAAGCAGATTCTGCATTTAGTAAAGCATGTTTGCATCCTGATCTCGCAAAATAAAAGAACTGTTTGAGTGTAACAAAACTAAAAGTTTGATTCCTTTTCTTTGCAAACCAAAGAGAAACTCCATCGAAGCTTAACTGAAATTGCCTCATGGAAAGGTTTCCATGGAAGCAGAATTTACATAATAGAAGCAGCTCCTCTAGCCTGGCTAGGTCAATTTGCATATGAAAAACCAGGCACAGGCAGTAGAACATTTGCTTTGGAATGCTAAGCAAGTACACAAATTCCAACCAGCAGAAAGTCACTACTTAGATGTTTCATTTACTTTTGTTTGACACCTTTAACAGTACAAAGCTAACACAGCCCAAACGGGAAGAGAACGGGAACCCCAAACTGGGAGTCAGCTTTATAAACCTCAAATAAAGGAAAAGTGCCTAAAGCCAGTTACTTCAAACATTAGTTGCACACAGCGCCCTTTGGTGGCTAACCTGCAAACTACAAGCCTATGTCAAAGCTTATATCACGCAACACTCTACTGGCCAAAAGGTGAAATGAACTCAAAATTCATNGCTCTGCCTGCACCAACCCCTCCACCTCCACTGCCTCCTTCTCCTTCGACCTGCCTCATTGACGAACTGGTTCCCTTGCCTGACCCGTTCTGTGAAGACCAGGTCGATCACCTGAGGGCCATTCGCCGACGTCCTCAGCCTCCTCAAGCCTGCGCTGCTGCGGCGGCCGCCACCTGCCTCAGCTGCAGAGGCAACCACGCCCAAGCGTCCTGCCCCTTCAAGACTTCAGTGTGCCACCGCTGCGGCAAGAAAGGCCACCTGGCACAGGTCTGCCAGGCCACCCTGCCACCTCCAGCGCCTCTCCCTGTCTACGTCCTCCTGCGCCGCCTAGAAACCAGCAGCCCTGACGCCAGCAAGCCCGCTGCGATGACTGCTACGCCCTGGCGGACTCGGGCTCCTCCCGGTCTCTCCTATCCTGGGAAACTTTCTCCCGTCTGTGCCCACGAGTCCCCAAGTTGCAGCTCTCTCCAGTGGACACTTTGCTCAGGGACTACCAGGAGATTCATATTCCTACCCTGGGCTACTATGGGGTGCGGGTGCAGTACGGGGGAAAATGTTGCTTCCTGCAGGTCCTGGTGGTTCAGAAACCCCTCCCATCTCTTTTGGGCCTTGACTGGTTCGTCCCTCTGGGCTTATCCCTCTATGGGGTGCATTCTGTGGCGGACACGCCCCCTGACATCGCGGCTGTCCTCAAGGACTACACCGATGTCTTCAATGGTGAGCTTTGGCGGTATAAGGGGACCCCTATCTCCCTCAACTTAGACCCCCAGGTTGCCCCCATCCGGCTGAAGGCCTGCAGGGTGCCTTTTGCCTAAGGTTGACGCTGAACTAGATAAGCTGTTGGCGCAGGGCATCCTGGAGCCCGTCGACCATTCACATTGGGAGACCTCCATAGTGGTCCCCGTGAAGGCCGACAGGTCCATCAGGATCTGCGCCGACTACAAGTCGACCATCAACCTTGGCCTCCAGACAAACCCCTATCCAGTCCCTGTCGTGCAGCACCTGCTCCACTCCTTGGAGCAGGGCTGCATTTTCACCAAACTGGATATGGCGCAGGCCTACCAGCAGCTCCCGGTGGATGATGATGCGGCAGCTGCCCAGACCATCGTCACCCACTGCGGGGCCTTCCGTTGTCGCCACCTCCAATTCGACGTTTCCGTTGCCCCGAGGATCTTCCAGAGCCTCATGGAGCGCTTGCTCCATGGGTTCCCCGGCGTTGTCCCCTACTTCAATGATGTCCTGATCGCTGCAAACAGCCGCTCAGGGCTCATCGAAGTCCTTTGGAAGGTCCTCGACCGTTTTAGGGGCACGGGTCTCAAATTAAAGCTCAGCAGATGCTCCTTTGCTGTGCCTCAGGTGGAGTTCCTGGGCTTCATGATTGACCCTCAGGGAATCCACCCCACCCCTTCTAAAATCACGGCCATCAAGAACACCCCTGCACCCACCTCCAAGGCGCAGATGCAAGCGTTCCTTGGCCTTTTAAACTTTTACACGCCGTTCCTCCCTCACAAGGCATCACTAGCCAAGCTGCTGCATCGGTTGCTCGACCGATCCGCAGCCTGGCAATGGGGCAGCGGCGAAACACATGCGTTTGCGGCTGTCAAATCCTTGCTGACATCAGAGGCAGTCTTAGTCCAGTATAGCGACAAGATGCCCCTGACTTTAGCTTGTGACACCTCTCCCATGGGCTTGGGGGCAGTCCTGAGCCATATTCTGCCCAATGGCTCAGAAGCCCCCATCGCTTTTTACTCCTGGACACTTTCCTCGGCCAAGAGGAACTACAGCCAGATCGACAAGGAGGCTCTGGCTGCTGTGTCCAGGGTTAAAAAGTTCCACAATTACCTCTATGGTCGGCACTTTACACTCTACACTGACCATAAGCCTCTCCTTGGGCTTTTGGCTGGTGATAGGCCGACCCCCCCCCATCTTGTCTCCCAGGATGACCCGTTGGACGGAGTTCCTAGCTGCGTATTCCTACACGTTGTGCTACCATCCGGGCAAGCAACTAGGGCATGCCAATGCCCTCAGCTGCTGCCCCCTCCCCTGCTCGGACCCCCAGCCGGTCCCTTGCCTCTCCGTCCTCTCCATCGCTGAGCTGGAACTCCCTCTAACTGCCTCTGACGTGGCCGCCCACTCGCAAGCTGACCCTGTCCTCTCGCAGATCATGGCATGGGTCCTGCCATGGGGGGGGGCGTCCCTTCCAACTTCCACCCTTTTAAAACTCGTCAGTTGGAGCTGTCACTCCACTGCGGTTGCCTTCTATGGGGTGACCGGGTGGTCATCCCTTCAGCCATCTGCCGCCAGGTCCTCCAGTGGCTCCATGCCGATCACCCTGGGTCGCGCGCATGAAGGCACTGGCCCGGAGCTACGTATGGTGGCCCTGCCTTGACAGTGACATTGAGGCCTGAGTCGGCAGGTGCGACCCTTGCCAGGTGTCCCGCCCCGCTCCCCCCTCCTCCTCCTCTCATGGAAGAGAGATGCCACGCGGGCCCTGGTCCCACCTTCACCTTGACTTCGCAGGTCCCTTCCACGGCCAAGTCTTCCTGGTTGCTGTGGATGCCTATTCGCGCTGGGTGGAGCTAGTCCTCATGTGCTCCACCACGGCGGAGAGTATGGTGTGGGCTCTGCAATGCTTGTTCGCTACCCACAGGTTGCCGGACACATGGTGTCCGACAACGGCCCGCAATTTGCATCCGCAGTCTTTCAGGCCTTCCTGGCCACCCAAGGGATCTGCCATGCCCCAGTCGCCCCTTACCATCCGGCCAGCAATGGCTTGGTGGAGAGGGCGGTCCGATTGGCCAAGGAGGCTTTGGGCCGCATGGACCGTGGCGACTGGCAGGCAAGGGTGGATGCTTACCTTTTGGCCCAGCACTCCACTCCTTGCCACCTCACGCGGCAAAGCCCCGTGGAGCTGTTGATGGGTCGTCGCCTGCGGACCACCCTGGATAGACTACACCCCCTCTATTCAGGAATTCAGCCTGGCAACCTGGGGCACCCTTCCCGATCCTTTACTGTTGGGGATTTGGTTTGGGCCCGTAACTACCCAGGGGACCCTCAGTGGGTGCCTGCCACCATCACCGATGTAACCGGCCCCATCTCCTATAGGGTCCACCTACCCGATGGCAGCGAGTGGCGGCACCACCTGGATCAACTGAGGCGCCGCCACCCCCCAGAGGCCTCCAGTCAAACGGACACTTCTTGCATCCTGCCCCCGACCCGCAACAGTTCCAGTGCATCGTTCCATCGCTGGCCTTCCCCGAGTCAGGCCATCCCTGCCCAGCCGCCGGGTCATCGCAGCCCCTGGCACAGCCTCCAGCAGCCGCTCAATCCACCTTCGCATTCCCTCCTTCCGCCCAGTTAGGCTTTTCCTTGTCAGGCCCTTTCCACCCCCTGGCCGCCTACTTTTTCAAAATCAACCGTCTCTCCCAGCTGCGCCCCCTCCGCCCGGCCTACCTTCTCCTAGGGTTCCGCCTACTGGACTAGGCCACAGTGACGTCACCCGGAGCTCCACTCCCTTCAGGGAGGAGCTCTCACGGTGATGTTTTCTCTCGCCGGTGCCGCCTCTTCAACTGAGGTGTTCTGGGCGTGTCCGCCGTCTGCCTGCCTACCTGCAAGAGTACGCATGCGCCACTTTTGACGCATGCGCCCTCCCTGGGGGGGAAGAGGTGTTAAGTCCTCGGACTTACGAATGACAGCTCGGCAACAGCCAGGTGCGCCGGAGCCAATCAGGCGCGACCTGCGGTTGCCGGGCTGTCAAACGCGCGGCTATTGGTTTCCCTGTCTGACAGCTCCGTATAAATAGCTGTCAGATAGAGAGTGGGTGCCAGTCTACTGTTCTTGTTCTGCATTGCCTGTTAATAAACGTTGGTTGACTTACCTTTACCTCAGATGCCTCCCGCCTGGTTCTTTCAGAGAACTTAACACCTGGCAATGAAACAGCTTTTTAAAAGTAGCACAAATCTTTTTCTACTGAGGTATAGCTATACTCATTCTAGGATATGTGGTCAGTTTATTAACTTGTGATATTGTACTGTAATGTTTCAAGGTGAAATTTAGCTCAACAAAGAATGAATTCTTTTTGGCTATGCATTTCTAAACCCAGTAACCAATTCATATCAAAGTACTAGTTCAGCTAGCTCAACTGCTAATATGGCAAAGACACGTCAAGAAACATTCCTACAGGCTGCACAACAAATATAATGAAAACAAGAGTTATCTAAAGGGCAGGCAGGAAGGGGAGAACCATGCTCCTCTGGATGCTTCTAGCTCAAACTTCCAGTCAACAAGCATAAAGGCTAGGAAGTCTGGAGTCTGTATTTCACTTAACACATGTATTCCTTACTACAGGTCACGTGAGCCAAGAAACAGCTGTATGGAAAGCCTCCTTCCTTTTGTCTCATAAGGGCTTCCTCTATGGCACAAGCATCACTAACTACCCATAAGGTCCCCGAACAGTACCTTTTCCCAGTTTTAGACTGTGACTGTGCTGCCCAAGCAATATATAGATAGTGTAGTAATTAAGAGCTGTCTCCTTTAAGAAATTACCTTCTGGGAAATGTAGACAGAGACTGCCTT